TCTGAGTTGTTTGTTTTTCAAAAATAATAAAGGGCATCAAGATTTACTGATTAATGAGTGAGAAAAAGTGATAAATAAAAGTATTGTTTCACATATGCTGAGGGTAGGTCCAATCCTGTGAAGACTTACACATGTCACTAAATTTATCTAGGAAGGTAGCATCAAAGCATCACTAACACTAGCCAAGCAAATAAAGTTATGCAAATTATGAACTTGCAAGATCAGTCTCTTTAGATTGCACAACTAGTAAATGAAAATAGCTGCTGCTTTTCAAGAGATAGCCACTTCTCTTCAGCTGCTTTTAACCTGAATGAATTGAAGGATAATTTTGGAGAAAGTTTCATGCTACTCTGTTTAAGAACATATTGGGCTGAAAATTTCAAAAGGACAGAGGCAAAATGGCAAAAACCACCATAGTGCCTTCCTTGCAAAAAGAAATCAAAGGATCTTCAGAGTTTTGCTTTCTTTTCTTTCAGTTAATAGTTAAAAGACAAATTAATGTATTTTAGAGAAAGGTAGCAAGAGTTTGCAAGGACACGAGGTGTTAAAAATTAATAGCATTATTTGGAATTGGCTGATGTAGTTCCTAAGCCATTCTCCATGATATTTGAAAAGTCATGGCAAATCCCAGGTGACTGGAAAAGGGGAAAAATTTTACCCAAGTTTGAAAAGGTTAGAAAGTACAACCCTGGGAATTACCACACTGTCAGCCTCACCTCTGTGCCTGGGAAGATCATGCATGGAACAGATCTTCCTGGAAGCTGTGTTAAGGCAAATGGAGGACAGGGAGGTGATTCAGGACAGCCAGCATGGCTTCAACAAGGGTGAGTCCTGCCTGACCAACCTAGTGGCCGTCTCCAAGGGAGTGACTAATTGATCAGTAAACAAGGGAAGGGTTACAGATGTCATCTATTTGGACTGCTATAAAGTCTTTGACACTGTCTCAACATCCTTCACCCTAAATTGGAGAGAGATGGATTTGGTGAGTGGACCATTATATGGATAAGAAATTGTTTGGATGGTCACATCCAGAGGGTAGTGGTTAGTGGCTCAGATCGCAATGGACATCAGTGACAAGTGGTGTCCTTCAGCAGGTATTGGGACCTGTGTTAATTGACATCTTCAATAATGACATGGACAAAGGGATAAAGAGCATCCTCAACAAATTTGCAGATTACACCAAGCTGAGTGGTGCAGTTGCCACACTTGAAGGATGGGATGCCATCCAGAGGGACTTAGGCAAGCTCAAGTGGACCCATGGAAATCTTATGAAGTTTAACAAGACCAAGTGCAAAGTGCTGCATCTGGGTCAAAGCAAGCCCTGGTATCAGCACAGGCTGGGGGATGAACAGATCAAGAGCAGCCCTGGGGAGAAGGACCTGGGGGTGCTGCTGGATGAGAGGCTGGACATGACCCAGCCATGTGCACTCACAGCCCAGAGAGCCAACCATAAAAAGCAGTGTGGCCAGGAGGTCAAGGCAGGTGGTTCTGCCCCTCTGCTCTGGTGAGACCCCACTTGGAGTGCTGCATCCAGCTCTGGGGTCCCTAGCACAGAAAGGACATCAACCTGTTGGAGCAAGTCCAGAGGAGGCCAGTAGGTCAAGCTGATCAGAGGGATGGAACAGCTCTCCTATAAGGAAAGGCCGAGAGGACTGGGGTTGTTCAGCCTGGAGAAGAGAAGGCTTTGGGATGACTTAATTGCTCCCTTCCAGTTCTTGAAGGAAACCTAGAAGAGATTGAGAAGTACCATTTACAAGACCATGTGGTGACAGGGCAAAGGAGATTGGATTTTAATTGAAAGAGAATAGGGTTAAATTAGATATTAGAAAGAAACTCTTTCCTGCGAGGGTAGTAAGGTACTGGAACAAAAAGCCCAGAGAAGCTGTGGTTGCCACATCCCTGGAAGTGTACAAGACCCAGATTGGATGAGGCTCTGAGCAGTCTGGTGTAGCAAAAGGTGTCCTACCCATGGCAAGAAGTTGGAACTAGATGAACTTTAACGTCTCTTCCAACTCAAACCATTCTATGATTCCATGACTAAAACCTAACCAAAATGACTGAATGTAAGCTCAAGTTCTTCAGCGAATTTTAAAAACAAGTGAGGCAGAGGTTACATGCTGCCTCCAGGAAATCCATGCTTCTGGGTCAATTCTGGCTCTGCCAGGATCGATTGCAGATTGTCACACAGTTCAGATTTTTGCAGTGTCACAACTTACTGTCTTCTAAGACCTTCAGTATTCTGGGACCATTTGAGGAACTTTTCTGGGGCCATCAATGACACAGAACATACAAAGTTATCTTCTTGTTGGTGGTATTGATGGATAAATTGGATGGAACATTGATTTTTCTTCATTGAAAGCCAGGATCTCATTAGCTGAACACCAACAGTATGTTATGTCTGAAAAGAAGGGAGTGACTCTATCCCTGACAAGCTGATTGATGCTGTGATGGTAGAGGCTGGATTTTAAGCCACAGCACAAAACCAGGGTCCTGGGGTCTTTTAGGACTGGCCCACTCATGTAGTCCCTACCACAGTTTTATTACTACCAAAGCCATTTTTTGCTGACCCTTGATTTCTGTATGAGTCTCTGGCCTCACCCAAGATCCATTCACACTGAGTATACCTGTGATCACACACACAGCTCTTGGTCTGAGAAATGTTTTGACATGAGGCCACTGATTATACAAGAAGTTCAGTGTCCAATAAAATGAAAAGCTTGTTACTACTTGAGCTGCTACATGCCCTCCCTGCAGCTGGTAGATTATACAAGGCTGTTGCCAGTGTTTTAGACAAACCAGGGCTATCGGGATCTGGATTAGAAACCACAGTAGTGGCTGGTGGGCTACCTGGTGATTTTTCTCAGTCCTGACCACTGTCATCTGTCCATGGGGTGGCAAAATGCAATAGTAAAGGATCGTGAGTGAGAGAAAAATCAAAAATTCAGGTCTGTAGAGCAGATGGAGAGAGAAGGAAAAAAAAATCTTTCAAGTCTTTAGTTCTCAATTTTTCAAGAACTTCACAATCTTGTATGGGACTTATTAACATTATTCTGGATTCTCAGATTAAGAAACAAACTCTTCTGGGACCTTGCCTCTTGATAAATCTGTTTTACTTCTTGAGTGCTTGTTTGATTTAAATTTAAGCCAGTAGAAGAGAATCTTTGCTTATCAAAGCCCTGCTAGTACTAAAAGGGTTTTTAACAGGTATAGATTTAGGTTGTGATCAGTGTTAAAGCAGCTACACAGGGGAAAAGACTGTATCAAAACATATGTTTTACAGCTTCTGTGTAGTTCTCTGACCTTACTGCCTGCTTTCTTTACATCATACCTGTCTTAAGGAAAGACAGGACACAGACATAGTTCCTTGTTTATCAAGAGTATTGCAAATATGTTGGGATTTTTGTGTTTTAGGGATTTTGTTAGTTTTTTTCTTTTTTTTTTTTTTCTTTTTTTTTTTTTTTCTTTTTTTTTTTTTTTTTTTTTGGGGGTACAAAAGAGAGGCATGGAAAGCAACGTGCTTCCAAAACTCCTTGTCCTTTATGATGCACTTAAGGAGCTTTGAAGTCCTGTCATAGTCAATTTCTAGAAATTTGATTTTTAAGCAGTCAGTAAGGAGCATGAAGTCTTATAGTCAGTATTCAGTAGCTTTAAGGTCGGATCTATTTTGAGATTTCAGTGATCAATAGGAACTTAATAGATTAAATTTGCAAAGTCATTGTTTCTTGCAATTTAGTAGACCCAGATTATTTGGACTGTAAGGCTAGGTAGGATCATGTGTCTATGAGGCAGCTAAAATACTTATAGTATGATGAAAAGAAGTTTTGCATTTTTAAATAGACTTGGTGGAAAAAGACTCCAATCAATGTTTGCTTGTTGCTTTACCACAATAGAATTAAAAAACACGTGTTCAACTTTTAGTAGTTGATATGAAAGCACAAAGGGTCATTCTCCACACTCTTGTATTGTATAAGTGGATAAATGACATGTGCTTGAAGTGGCTGTTAGACCATAGTATGGAGACATGATGCCTAGAGGACCTGATGCAATCTCTGCCTTATTTATGAATCTTCTATCATTATGTCTACAAGAAAGCCACCTTTTTTGTTCACTTTCTTATGTACCTCATAAATTAGAGAAAAATTGCATGTAAAAGGGAAATTCTGTTCTAGAAAAAAATCACAATAAATAAATATTCCAAATGCTCTCTGTTTCCCCATGGAAATAAATACTTTAATTTAGTTTTGATTATTTGACACATGATATTGGAAAAGTAAAACAATATTAAACAAAATCAAAGAAAAAAGTCTAGTAAAAATTTTGTTTCCAAGACTCAAACATAATATTCTAAGGTTGTCAGTTTCTATTTCAAGGCTGTTTAAAAAAAAATTGTAACACAATGAATTAATTTCTCAAATATGCTGATATTTGAGAATCCTATATTTTGACAGAACTCAATATGACTCAAGAGAAGTGGCTTGAAAACCAGGCATTTCTGTGACCTAAGATCATAATTACATAAAGAATTGAATAATGAACCCTATGAGCTCTGGCAAAAATGCAAGAGAAATAATTTAAAAAGTTGACCATTTGAATTAACAGCCTCTCTAGCACATTCCTATCACTTACCAGGGCTTTGTTATGGGAGTGTGGATGGAAGCATGGGGGGTACACTGGCCTTCATGTCCATCTGTACTTGGCTCCATTTGGCCTGGGGGACAACACACACTCACCTGGGGGGTTCCAGAGTACTCCTGAGGGAGATCCGCTGCTCTGCAATACCTGTAGAGAAAATAAGACATCGCCAATGCGTGCACCCACTCTGGGTACAGAAACAGTGCTTAGTTTTGCAGATAAAGTTATGCTCCGCAGTGCAAATGGATTTTCTCTCTTCTTTTTTTCAAGCATTTAACTATTTTTGTATTGAACTGATGTGAAATTACATGAGCTTGGATAATGTGAATAATGCATGAGATTTAAGACAAACACATGAAAGGAGCTTATTTTTCATGTCAAACAATTCTTTATTTTTTATGGTACAAATTAAAAGTGACAGATCTGAAGCTGTTAAGAAATACACAAAGTGCAGCTTTACTGACCATACAGATATTGCTCTAGATTAAGTACAGTTTTTGTCAGTTTTTTTTATTTTTTATTTTTTTCATGTTAAGCAACCTGTGCAGATAAATCAGCTTTGGTTTCAAAGTCAGAGTAATAAGGAGCTTTTAAATATCCAGTTTGTTTTCTTGGTCACAAGTCCACCATATCCACTCCTTTTTTATTTATTCATATTTTTTAACAACAGAATACAGTCCGTTTTGTACTGCCATCTTTCCCCCTGCATGCTCCATGCATGGAAAAACAGATCTCTTTGCAGTGCTTTGTAAGTGACCCTGGTGACCATTCTGTAGATTATAGCACATAGGACAAAAATAATAATAATAGTAATAATAATAATTAATAATAATAATAATAATAATAGTAATAATATCACTTTTTAACAATAAATAAACAAATGTGCCCCACATAGTCTCAAGTTGGAAACAAGCAAACCACATGACAAAAAGCTCATTACAAAATGTTTTCCAAACAGATTTTACAGTCAAACATTGACATGGAAATCAATTTCCTCTTTTATCTTCTTATTTGAATGTTGGTCAATAACTGGGTACAAGTAGAGTGCTGAGGTAAAACACTGATGAACAGTTTTATTTTTGTATTTTTTTAAAATAGTAACAGTTTAGTATTGCGAGATTGTCAGCAACATTTAGCCATATCTATACAATGTGCATATACCTACATACATTGAGCTTTGGTCCAGCATTGAGAAGACGAGCAAAGGCATTTTACATATTTCTTTTTGGTTATAGCTTGAGTTCTTTGATACGCCTCTACTTGTTCCTTCCTAGCTCCTTTTTGCTTCTTTGTTCTCTCTCTTTTTCCTTTTTTTCCTATTTTTCTTTTTTTTTTCCTTTTTTTGGCTTTTTAAAAATTTTTTTTCAGTAATAATGTAAAGAAATTGGAACCATTTGAATGCATTTGATTTCTTCAACTGTCCAAAATAGCTTTTCAGTGAAAAACATAAAAAGACAAAATTAGAAGAGTAAGTGAACCCTTGGTTCATTATTCAAATAATATTTTATATATATTTATATATATATATTAAAAAAATCAATTATCAACAAAGTGGAAAACCATTAAACCTTCACATATGACCGAAGAGACTTTTGTTTCATTTACTGGTAGCAACCTACCTTTTAGTCACATGCAAAATTAAAACGTATTCAATTTTTATCAATACATGAAAATTGTTTACAAATGGGAACCAGAAATGTTGCCAGTAACATAACAAAACAAAATATTTATGGCCCTCCCAAAGATGTATGACTCAGATACAATTTATCTTCCTAAGAATCTATTCAGGCACCATTTATGCCTCATAGCAAAAATTTGTGTATAAAAAAATTAACATGAGAAGCATTACAACACCTTATAAATAATTTACAAAACATAATACAAAATTAGAAAACTGTAAAAAAAAATCATTGCACATGAATGATTTTAAGACTGTGGGATGAACATTATTTTTTCTTCCATGCTGGCAATTTATATTTATTTTACATTTTCACTGTCCTAGTTATAGCCTTCCGATATGTACTTTGGAACAGAAAAGAGCTTATATAACTGCTGCCAGCATATTTTTAAACATTTAGTATCTTTCATACAGTGTTTGGTTAACTTTTTTTTTTCTTGGGGGATTTTTCTTCACAGAATTTAGAGCAGTCCCTGGGAGAATTGGAAATTTAGTTTTCAGGCAATGAATGGTTGATGGTTTTGTTCCCAGGCTGTTGATGGTGGGGATGGAGTGGGGGAGGGTACAGCCTTTAAGGATGACTGAACATGTAATTGTGTATGTGGCATTAATGACTGGGCAATTAGGAGTGTTCTGGAGACATGGGTAGGATTTCAGGAGTAACTGCTTCCAAATATGATTTATTCATCCTTGCTTTCCTATTAGGTACTGGATGGTGGTCTGATTGTTACATAGATTGAACTGTGGTAACAACTTTAGACCTGTTTGGTATAGACTACATAGATATTTCTGAGAATATAGGTGTCTATGGAGAAAGAGGGTATAAAGAAAACCCAGAGGGGTAGATGTTGCTGTGAGACTCTAATTTACATGTTATGCTTGTCTCTGAAATCTTAAAGCTACACCAACCATGCAGTAAATACCTCACTTTACAAGGCAAATCCCATTAATAAAATACTGAGGGCCAGATTCAAAATATAGTGAAATCAATGAAAATCTATCTCTTTCACTAAATTTTGGATATAGCCTGGAATTTTTGAAAACTCTTTAGTAAGAGAGGTGTTATTTGAAGACTCCAGCACTTCAGGCACTTCCTTCCACATCCTAAGTAGACTGCCAAAAATCCAGCACAACCATTCTGAGGTCAAGGAATGCAATCAGGAGTTATAACACCAGAATTTTACCATCTCTATTTTACCATCTCTGAGCCAATTATCTGATGTTATCTTTTGGGATGACTTGATCAAGATGCAGCTTCCACCCTAATGGTGGAAGCTGCAAAAGCTTGAGCATAACTGAGCAGAAGATGAAGATTGCAGATGACCTTCACAGGTCAGACCACACCCCATCTAGAACCTGCAACACCTTTCTCTGCCTCTGAGCCTTTTATGATCTAATGACCACAGTATTTTAGTAGATGCTTGTCCAATCACAAAGGAAGCCACAGAGATAAACTGTCTTTAAAGAAAAATCAGTTCACCTGAATCATATTGCAGGTGACCTACCTTATATTATCAAGAGACATTCAGTGTCTTTCCCTATGTCCCAATTGATTAGTCTAGCCAGTGGCCACGGCAAACACCTGCAGAAGCACTTCCTCCTGCTAAAGAAGTCAATAGGGCTTGCCATCAATATGACATTAAAAAAAGTCAGAAGGAACAAAACAAAATTGTCCATAGTGATGTAATGATCAAAATATCCTCATCACTTCTCAGCCTGTCCACTTGTTTTCATCAGAACCTCAAGAAATTTCTTTGGCTAGCAGGCTTTGGAGAGAAATTGCTTCAAATGGAACCATAATCTAGCTGCAGTACTGTACCAAGTGTGCAATTTATATTTATACTACAAAATTAGTTTTGGTAACCTCTCCAGGTTCATGGCCAAAGGACAGAGAAATCTCAAGCTACACATTCAACAAAAAGCACAATCTTCAATGTGAGCTTGAGAGTCCATCAGATATAATCCTAATCCTTCTTTGTCCTCATTGCATTCCAGCATATAAAAGTGTTCAGATTTCAGTTTTCTTTTTAAAACTCCTCAACCAGTACTGGGTTTGGGGGGCTTGGGGAAGGGGTAGAGAATGAGCTGGAAGGGAGGAGGCAGCAAATAGAATCAGGAAAAAAAAACAACAGAAAAAGAAATGTAAACCAAGACATACACCCTTAGAAGAGAAACACTAAACCCCACAACTCACAATAAAAAGTACTTATTTTTGGCACCCAAATATTAGGAGATTGCAAAACTGTTGACTAAAAGAAAAGAAAGTGAGGTGACTATTATGGAATGGCTTTGTACACACCTGCAGGGGGTACAAACTAGGATGAGAGAAATTAATCCTATATTCCTCTTTGCAAAATACAAATGTAAAAATTTGTAACACAATTTTACACTCATAAAAGAGTAGACTAACAATCTAGTTTGCAATGCCATGTTTCTGACTTTGGTTAATAGATTTCATAGTGAATTAGCACTTGATACCTGAAAGGTTACAATCACTCCTCCAGGTGGCAGGCTTGTATTCTCTTTTAAACAGATAAAAGTTTTTTTTTCTTTTTTTTTCTTTCTTTTTTTTTTTGTTGCTGTTTGTTTTGTTTTTCCTTAAAATGTGTTAGTATTTTCATAATATACAGAAAAAATTAAGCAGTTATTTGGTTTACTTTAAGTCCATTAAAAAAAACTGGCTTTTTCGGGGTTTTTTTTGGGGAACTAATTCTACCACACACACTCTAAGTGTTGTGTATTTTTTTGTTTAGTTTTTTTTTTTTTTTTTTTCATAGGAAAACCCATGGACATTTATAAACTGTCCTGTCCTTCTTGTAGTTTTCTCAGTCTTTTACTTACAAGGGTGATGAATAGGTATTTTCACAGAGTTCAAATGGACACATTTCAGTTGGTGTGGGGTTTTTTTTTTTCTGTGTGATTTGGCTTTTATTGTTTTGCTTTTAGGAGTTTTCTTCCAGAGAGTCTGTTAAAGGCTCCATAGGAACTGCTGTTGCAGGCTCGTGTTGTTTCAAACGTTTAATTGTGTTCTTCAGTGCTTGCCTCTTATTGCAGAACCAAACTCTAACTACTTCCCGGTCATAGTTCAGTTTCTCTGCAATCTCTGTCATTTCTTGCCCAGAGGGATGCGTGTTCTTCTCAAAGTGGGCATTCAAGATTTCAAGGGCTTGTGGCGTGAATGAGGTACGCCTCTTGCGCTTTTTGGATGGTTCGCTCCCAATAAACTCGGTAAGGTTCTGCATCCCTGCTCGATGGCGGGCCTCAGCCTCAGCCATCCACCGCTCAAGCACCGGCTTTATCTTCTGGGCACTTTTAGGGGTGATGTCCAGCTTTTCAAACCTGGCAGGATACAAAAGGCCAGGGTTCAGTTTGGCTGTCAGACTGCTAGCTATAGTGTTCTCTTGGGCTTCCTGTGGTAGGAAAAAGTGGCTTCTCAGGATGGTGTGTCTGAGGGAAAATTGAGAAAGAAGAGTCTTACACTGATGCTCTGCCAGGGTGGGACTTCCTGCCTGCCTGACTAATTGACTGGCAGAGGTAATTTACAGTAGATTATGAAAACTGTCAGGTATATCTATACATAAATATAGATATATATATATATAACTAGAGATTTAAGCTAACACAAAATGAGCACTACAACAAAATTCTAAGTACACTAAATAATACAGGTTAAGAATCACATTTTCATATTTCTGATGATCTCCAAGACCCTTGAGACTAAGTTTAATTACAGGAAATGATATCAAAGGCATTGTTTTTATCATCTTGTCTTTGTGTTTAATCCTTTTGTTATCTCTCCCATCCCATGTTATCCGAACACCACAGCTTTAATAATAAAAACCAATGGCAAATACTTGTCTCTGAATATCAGGTTTCCTTTCCATTTTTCAGCAATTTTCACTGTTTGTAAGTTAATGCTATATCCCTTTTCTGGGTTGGAAAAAAAATTCCCATAGCCACGGTGGTGTTCAGCTGAAACAGCTGGATACTTTGCAATTATCTTGCTGTCCCCACAATGTGCAAAGACAGACTCATGTTTTCCAGATGAAACCCAGCATAACAGTCCACTAATACACTGTGGCACCAAGCTGAGTTTATTGTGGGATTTCTGCAAACTGTACCAGAATGATATCATTTCCTGTAAATGAGGTCTTCTATATATCATTTTGCCATCAAAAGTCTTTTGCCAAATCAGATTTTACAAGTATTATAAAACATCTGGAAAAGCAGCCACACAAAGCTTCAATCCTTTCAAAAACAAGCAGAATAGCAGAGTTTACGTTTCAAGTCCTATAAGTACTTGTTTCTTTCATTTGCTAAACATTAAAAAAGTCTTAACCCAAGTTCTTTGGTGCCATCCATTTGTATTTTCCCATTTTGCTCTGTCCACCCAGCACGTTGAGGTATTTAATGCTGCAGAAAGGCAACAATTACTGATGTCGCTGCTGTGCTCTCCAGCCCAGGTGGTGCTGAAGCACCACCACCACCACTAACCACAGGGTGCTCTGGAGATGAGAGGAACTGAATCAATCCCTTTAGGCCAAGAAACTTGGTGGAGTTTCTGGACAATTTTAGTGTCTCCATTCAGCATGTGGAGGCAGCAAAAAATATTCCAGCATGAAACAAAACACTTCTCACAAACAAAGAATAAGACAAAGAATAATTTCAGATAATCATACTCCAAAGACTTTGTAACTGGTGCCTGATATCTTAATGTGGTATTGACTGCAAGGTGTCATTCCTTGGTGTCCAGTGATATTTCAAGCTGAAGGATATATTTTAGAATGTATTGTCTCAAATTAAAGAAAATGCTGCTACTTGCATTCAGAACATATCAAGATGGTATATTGCTCATATGACCTGCACAGGCCACCAGGAGATTCTACTTTTCTCTTTGAGCTGGTAGTTCAAATTGCTTGCCTTACTGCCCCTTCCACTGACCTGGAGTTCATACTGAAACTCCTTTGTTTCAACCGAAAAAAGTTAAATCTACTATTTCTGACAAAAACATGGTGCCACTGAAGCAGCTTAACAAAAAATGCACAGTCATAGCATGTAATTATGCCCCAAAATGGTGTCCATCTAAGGCAGGCAAAGGAAATTTAAAAAAACTGTAACCTCGCAAATATCTGGGGCAAGATCTTGCACCCAATCTCATGTTCTGAGCAACTTGCTCCTCCAAGGAGCCCTCTGTAAAAGGTCTTACCATCCCCACTGCTTTCTCAAAGTGTGAGGTGGATGGAGAAAATGAGAAGACAGTAGACTAGGAAAAAGTAAAGGAAACAGCAATGTGTCCCTTTAAAGTATAGCATGATAAACAGCAACTTAAGGCTACAAAAAATTTCCAGTTGCTATGAACTCCACCAATTTTAGGCATTCTTTACCAACTGACCACAAAGAAGTAAAAAAAAAAGAAAAATAATACAAAATCAACTTTAATCCTTAGCAATAGGAAGCAACAGCATTCATATCATTGGCATTGTTTGTTAGAGTTGTTGCTGCAGGACATGTTTGGTATAACGACATACAAGTCTTGAAACAAATTTCCCAGCAGTAGTATCCTTGTATAGACTGAATAAAGGTTATTTTCAACAGGGAGGTATCTTATAAGAAAAAACAGTAGGGGAGACCACAGAAGTGAGAGGATCCTATGGAGCTTTTTGTATTTAACAACAATCAATGGGTTTTATGGAAAATCATTGAGCAAAATGTGAGCTGCAAGCACACTACCCCATACTGATGTTATTTATAACCTTAGTCTTTAACTGCAGGAAAAGTACACTTCCATTCTATGGGGAATACATTAAAAGTATAAAGAGCAGATAAAAAGACAGAGCATTTCATGGATCACCAAGAACAAAATCCACTTAAATGAGCTTAGAGTTGGTTTCTTGGCTTTCACTGATGGAGGACTATAAGGCATTGCCCAAGAGGAAAAAGCTGTTACCTAAGTGTGTTTGTTACCTCATGCATAAACATGGTATTACTGTAGTACACATACATGCATATAAGGTATTTGCTTCTACTCTAACTCTGTCAAGAGTGTATTATTATTTCTTATGATTGGGACAGATTTCTGCCTCTGCTTTGCATACATGGGTTTGTCTGCTTTTTTTCAGTAAATATTTGGGTGATAAGAGATGAATAGCTGCTGGTTTGCAAGATAGCAGGAAAGCTATTTTTTTCCCTTCTGTGCTGCCTAGGTAAATCATCATTAACATCCTCTATGTGAAGTGCTAACCACAGTAATACAGGTTTAACTTAGCAGGGATGCAGCCATGAAATATTTGTTCAGTAACCCTATCTGTAGAAAATGGCACAGTATGAAGAGGGTCAGCTGGTGCTTATCCAGCATCAGCAGGATCTCCAACTCATCTATGGAATTTAGTCTCTATGCCAGGAACATTGTTTTTCACTTGTTTAGAAAATGAGGAGAAAAAAAAAAAGGAGATCAAAATCACTCTAAAGATACACAATAAGAACAATTTATATGTCAGATAACATTTAAATATCAGATTAAATAATACACTCTAAAGTTATGAAACTCAAACACAAGCATGGTCCTCACAATAAGCTGGATCATTATTAAGGACAAAGAAAGAAGTGGAGTTTATGATGTAACTTGTTACCTGCAGATGGCAGACTGGCTATAGGCTGGGCCTTCGGTGGCGCTCAGGGCTTGGCCAACTTGAGTCTGTGTCAGGCCAAGGGACAGGCGCCGGATTTTAAAAGCTTTGGCAAATTCTCGTATTTCTTCCAGATTTACCCCATCCACTTCTCCAGTGGCTGTCTGAGGATCTGTTGAGATATTTTTTAATAATGTCAGTTCTTTGCATCACATATCAGTGGGATAGGATTACAGCCATTTTCACTGCCAAAACTTTCAAGCTCAATTTTTTTAATACTGATTCCTTTCTCTTCTTCCCCAAACAGAAACAGACGTGCCTTGTAAGGTGTGTTCAGATTGCTAAGATGCTGACTGGGCTGCAGTTGTCTGCAGGTGGAAGATTTCCAAAGATATGGCTTTGCTGAACTCCTGACAAAGGCCAGCTCACCTTTGAGGGAGGATGTGCCTGGGATCCTTGCTGCCATTTATGCCTTGCAAAGTCTTCTCCGGATTGAGGAGTCATGTTCCCTGTTTTCCCTTTTTTATCACATAGCACAATGGTTGGTGTTAAAAAAATTATTTCCAGTCTGTAGGGAGGGCTATATATATGTATGAGCTGCTTGGATTTTAACTTGAAATCAAATCTTTGTACTTTATCTAAAGTTAATGTCAAATAGGAGATTCACAACTATTTCTTCCCTTTTACACAATACCCAACCTAAACTGCCACATGAATGTGCAAAATAACCCAGCAAATGAACAAGCCTAAAAAATTTCTGCTTTTAAAACCTCCTTAATTTAATAATTGTCTTTTAAAATATGCCCTTCTGAGAAACAGCCTTTCAAGCTTTTTATTCTGCCCCCCATCAGGTCGATAATCGAGGAGTAGCAACACTGGTTTTGGATGGTAATGCTGCAGTTTTTTTACTTTTATATTAGCCCCTCAGAAGATAATGCTTATGATGCTGTGAGAATAAATCTGTCCTTCCTCTCTATAGCAGTTTACTGACACAGAAGCCTTTGTCCCTGAAAGGGCACATAATAAAGCATGTCTACCACAGAAAAGCTCCTTTGGAGCTGGATAACTCGGTCAATTTAGGACTTATCAAGGGAAATGACACAACAGCTGGAGAATGGAACTTCCAGCCCCCCCCCCCCCCCCCCCCCCCCAAGCTACTGATCCCTGACTAAATGAAAGTGTTTGCCAAGTCAGAGACAGCATGGGACTGGGATGGTAGAAGATTTCAAAGTGTTGTGCAATCCTGCATGTAGTGAAGCCATTCTCCCAGTGAGACATCTCTATTGTTCTTCGCCTCATTCCTCAGACTCCGAGGTGAAGAGTTTTCAGTACAATAACCCCTCAATTTCTGTAAATGCAAGCAGTTGTCCAAGGACAGTGCTAGACTACATTACCATTCTGAACCCTTTATGAGAATGGCTCCTGCTAGTATGGCTCTAGTGAGGGCTTATCAGCATTACAGGAGCAAAGCTTTTATTTTCAGGGGTTTATAAGCCTGGTGTAAAATTTCCTAGTGATGGAAACATCCTATGAAAAAATCCTTTTGTCCAGTAATAGACAGAGGGAAAATTGTTTTCTGATATATAAATTTATTCTGTTGCTTGATTGCAAGAAGCACAAATGGCAATATTTTTAAAATTCTTGTGAATGCAAGATAAACATGCACATAGGCTGAACCTTGTTTCAATGATACTCCACACTCAGAATCATGTCTGCTGTTCTCACTGCGGTACTTGTGGTCACCTGCACACCCATGCACTCACTCAGTACAAAGCTAGGGTGCATATTGTCTGATTTAGGGGTAAGTGCTGTAACAGTGGCCACTGAAGTTTATAAAGTAATTGCCTTTAGAAGCATGGAATTTTCCTGCTTACACCATTTAGTCTATCTAGCATACCAGGTCTGAATTTCAGAGACACAGAATGGAGCTACAGATTTATCTGACTTTAGGTCTCTGTACTAAATACCATAAATGATACTGGCCTCAAAAACTCCCCTGAGCAAAGTTCACTGAAATGGTGACTTTTACCTCACCTCTTTCCTTCTGTTAATTTAAGGCCTCTGACTAAGGCTGTTAGGAACGTAACAAAGGACAATTCAGATGTTGCCAGAGAATTTCTAAAGTAGCAAACTATGGCACCTGTAATCCTTCCCAAATCCTGTTAGGAATAAAAAGGGAACTGAGAAAACTAATTCTAGAGAAATTATAGAAAAATTCTGCCAAGTTCTGCTGGATCTAGAATTATCTGGCACTGTTACAACACTGAGCATCATGGAAAGACCATTCCTGCCTGTGGCACTTGGATGAAGGAAATATTAAGCTGAGCTCTCCTTGAGATAAGAAAAAACCTGTGATGTCCTTCAGTAATATGGGAGTAGACTATAGCATACAGTGAAATATCTGTTGAGGAAAAGGCTTCATCCTTTCATCGCATTTTTGGCAACAAGAAAGTACTAACAGATGGACTGAAACACTGAAATGTTTTATCTTGAACTCTAGGGAAAATAGCATTTGTGTGAAATTGGAACCACTTCTACTTTGGGTGCAATTCAAAGCCCTTTGAAATCCATGGATCTTGTCTTCTGCCACCTCCCTAAAACACAAATAGTGCTATGAAGACCATTCTATTTGCACCATCATTTGTTTTACACTAGTGCATTAAAATGAAATCAATACAGTCTTAGACTGTATGGTCTAAATATGCATATTCATAAACATATTCAAAGAGATTATGAACTTAGTCTTAACAAGTTCTGAGCTTTTAAAACAATTGAGCATATAGTGCACTTCATATTTTAGGAAGAGTAGCTTATTGAAGACAGTAAATAAGCTGGCTCTTTTTCAATTAAGTGGATATCCCAGGGAAGGCCACCCAGTGACAACAGGTAAATAGAGAATACCAGACCCATTGAGTGTTTGGGATCTATGGTAACGGATTTCAAGACTCCCATGTTTACATTATTGCTGAGAAAACAGTGGCTGCCTGTGAAATTACTGGGTGCTGGAGAAAGGTCAGAATGTTGTCTTGGACCATTTCAGAGGATATGGGTACATATAACAAAAAGGAAGACAGCTAAAATTCCACCAGCCATCATGGTGGATGGGGAAGATAGATGAGTGGTATGGAAGAAATTAAATTCACAGGGTCTCCTGCACAGAAATCTGGTTTTTTCCTGCTGAAGGGAATACTTCTCCCACCTTTGAATTCTTCTGAAAATCCTGTGTGAGTTTGTTGTTGAGTGAAAATATGCTGTGATTTTAATAATTAGGGGAAAGAGCTGCTACAGAGAAATCAGTGCACCCTTAAGGAGAAACCAAATTTCAGTTGCACAGAGTTCTGCCATGGGAGAGATTACAGGGGAATGATTTCCCCAGTCAGAGAGGAGGAGAAGTAGCTAGCTGAGGAGGTCCAGTGGAAAGTAAATTGGATAAGAAGGCAGGGCAAAACATTGATAATGGAAAATGGAGTAGAGTTCAGGGAAAAAAAAGAAGAATAATTTGTTTATGGGAGGCATTTAAATTTCATAATAACAGATGACAGTAAAATTAATCTGGGAGGAAGAAAGGAACTTCATAGAGACACAAATCTCAGAGCACAAAGGGAAACCAGTGATTTCCACAAAGAGAACATATGGTGGAAAAGTTAAAGAAATGAACAGAGGGATGCATTTCAGAAGAGGAAAATGAAATGGAAAAAGGGGAGGAATAAAATTGTAGATTGAATGAAGAGAAAATAAAGAAGACAAAAAGAGAATGCAAATAGGATTAGACAATGCAAAGAAATCATACAGAAGGGACAGGAAGAGTAGAGATGAATCTTGCAGTCCTTGCTTAGACAGAACTTATTTTAAAATGTTTTTTATTTGGAAATAACTGCTATGTTTTGTCCCCAAAATAATTAGCACTTGTTGCTGGTTAGGAATGAAGGGGTGATGATGAGAGAATAGGGAAAAGCTATAAAGAAGACAACAACATAAAGGAAAAAAGGACAAGAAATAAAAAAAAGAAAGAGAAATTGGAAACAAAAGGTAAGGAAACACCTTTGAAATTAAGAAACATGTTAAAGAAAAAAAAAGCAAAATAATACAGAAAATATTACTAGAATGAAATGTAAAAGTAATAAATCCAAGGAACATAGAACACTACAGTTAATAGAGTTTTTATGACTTTCTCCTTGTACTTTAATAATTTCTCTGATGTGAAGCAACATCTTGTGAAAGAGTTACTCTCTTTGCAGTCAGTGTGCAGAAACATGCCCCAAATAATTATTTGCTGAAGTTAGGATGCTCTATGCAATTTGATTAACTGAACAAGTGGCTAAATGTGACTAGTTTTACATGAACTTTGCTATATTTAGCAACTATTTCTGGAATATAACAAATCTCTGCCAAGGTACTCAGCTCCAGGACCTCTGCCAGAGGTCTGGACTACAGTTTCATAAGGAATCAGGAAAAGAGAGCAATATTCCTACCTCAGGAACAATAAAGAAATCAAAGATAGATTCAGGAAGCCACAAGTTGTTTCCTGCTGCCTTCATGCATAAGTACTTCTCTCAGAAACACCGACCCATTGCCCACCTCATCCCACTAAAAGACTTAAAACAGATTTTAAGACACTGGATTTAAATTGTAGGCCTTTCATACAAAGCTCTGCAGCCAGTGTGGAAGCTGGGATGCTAAGAAGGTCTCAGGCTTGACAGAGAGGTGCTCCTGCCCTTCAGCAATCTGCATCTGGAAACTGAACAGATTCTGTAAAGAAGCGAAACAAGGATGACTTTCTATCTACATTCTCATGGGCAGCCACAGTTTTGTGCAAATGACTTTTCAGTCACATTAAACAATTTTCAAACTCATGAAGGTAATTTAATACTATTTGTCCCAACAGTACCACTGGTTTATCACGTTGAAGGAAAAGCTAAAAAAGGATCCCATCTGATTTTTCATTTTTCATTACACAGGTGGTTTGATCTTTCCTTACTGAACTGACCATATTTTCCTCTTTCTTGTAGGCTCTTTCCACATTACTAGAAGACTGTAGGTAGCTCTCTTATGCCCTGCAACACCATCTCTGATGTGGCAGCTCAAGCAGGGTCCGGCATGCAATGTTAGCTCCAGTTTGTGGTGACTGCATGCTCTCAGTCTTTAAGGATAATTGAGACGACTGGTTTGCTTCTACCTGTGTAAGGTAACTATGCAAATGGCCAAAGGGAGTTGATCTGCCCTCACGCTATTTAATTAGTCTTGAACAGCAGAGGCTGAATGAAGCTGGAAGCATAAACTCTAAACAGCTCCACAGGTTTTTTATTTATGTTTAATGTGGAATTTTTTTCAGGAGATCCCTAGCAATAACATTTCCTTTTGGAAAATTTGAGTTAACTTCCAAGTGCAACTCCTTCAACAATCAGTCTGACTGTATTAAAAGTTTCCTATGCCTGTAGCTCTTTTAGATAGGACCACAGTAAAGACATGGAGACTGGCTTGACACTCTTCTTTGTGATCACTTTTCACACTCCTGTGATGGCTGCTAGGGAGGGTGGGAGTGGCATCAGCAGGATTTGGATGCAAAGGGGGCAAAAATTAACCTTGATTCTAAAGAAAAAGGTAAGATAGTAGAAAAAAAACAGACTTGAAGATTATTAAAGAGCAGGGATTAGAATTTGGAGGGAGAGAGGGCCTGACTCTGCACAGTACCAGTCACATAGAGGAAAGAAAAAAGGAAAAAGAGGTGGCACTAGTGATAAAACAATATAAAAGAGGACAGAAACTGCCTAATAAAAAGGTTGGTAGAAGGGTACAGATATGGTCTGGAGACAGTGACTGAATGGGAAATGAAATGGGAAGTGAAGTTGGGTAATGATGGACTGTGAGGAAAGGACTGCAGGGAGAAAAGAGGAACAAAAGCATGGAGGGAAAGGGAGAGTAGATTGTGTGGAGAACAGTGTGAAGAATTAATGTGACTAGAACAAGACAAGTAATGGATGGAGTCAAGCCTGAGAGGATCAAGTAAACCTTTTATGTTCATTAATGTATCTCCCAGTTGTGCTCAAATTGATATTCCTGTGCCTCATACTCTACTCTAAGCCAAATCCATAAGCACAGCATGCTTATTTCAGAGCTGGACCAACAAGATGATAACAGAGCTATCAGCTTTTCCATCCATTCAACACATCTCCTATTTCCAACTATGAACATAGAGATTATCTCACTATATGACTGATTCATGTTACTATTCTGCTTTTGAAACAACCTTAAAATGTATCCATGCAAAAAAAATGAAGCTAAAAGAAAGTCCTTATTAAAAAATTAACACTCAGAAGCTACAAAATGCTGGAGTTACAGCAGCACACAACATAGTGTACCATAGTCTTTGAGCCCTGGATTATCAGTTAGTTCTTTTTCATGTGCCTTGCTCAGTGTAGAGGATGAACTGTCCTTCACTACAGACAAACTGATTGATATATTGCCTTTTTACTTGTTCAGTGTGTGGCCCCAGACCTCTATTAAAGCTCTTCACTAAAGACATCTCCTCTTGAGCTCTTCTGGTTTCTTTAAAATCTTAATTTATTTTCTTGTGTTTCTACAAGATGAGGGTCTTCCCCTTCACATTCACAGAGAAGTGGACAGATATTAAGGGAAGAAGCAGTTTGGGTACCCAGTCTAGGTCAAGTAGGAAATTATTTTTTAGACTGTCTTTAAATGGTTCTTGATACAGTTCCACTATGAAAGTGCACTTAAAATTACAACTATGAGTACTGAGTTCTTCTGTAAATTGAAGTCCGGGGTCTCAAGCTGGATATTGAGAGAGCACTTGTGAAAAATCTCTTTTAAGTGATTTGCCTACCTTGCACAGGAATTACATAGCAGGCAGAAGGCTTCAGCTCCTCAGTCCTCTATTGCCTCAGGCAACACCATCCTTCATTCCCCTACAGCTTCCTACCTCAAATTATGTTCCCCAGTTATGCAAACTGAGGAACAGATTAGTGAAACAGGTAAACCCTGGGACAACAGCCCACCTGTTGTGTTAGCAATTCTGATACATCCCTAGGAAAATCCCACAGGGAATGCACTGAAAGAAGGATGAGGAAAAAAAACCCCACGATTGCATAATTTTAATCACAACAATATATTGTTATAATGAAACACATTTCTAAGAGGAATTGCATGCAGTTGAACAAACAGCTATTTTTCAAGTATTTTCTAACTTTGGATGGATTTATCCTGTAATCTCAAAAGGGCTTCTTCCACGTTGCATTTATTTTAAATAAGAATGTACAAAAGAGGACCTATTCTAGACTAGCTATTGAAAAATAACTTACTCTGTACCAGCTATTTTACTCAATTTGCCCACATGGACTAGAGGTACATTTTACGTATTTGTAATGTAAAAGCTCTTTGTCTTCCTTCTACAAACATGTCTACATAAGAAAATTTACTAGTGACAGTGCAGTAGCATTGTGATTATATCTGTATCTATAAGCAGATATTTTCATTCCAGAACAAAAGTACTCCCATGGGGAGTTACATCAACATAATTTTACTACTACAGTTCTACTAGTAATTTCCCCATGTAAATGATCTCTGAAATAATATAACCAAGATTTTTTCACATCTTTCCTTGCATGACAGTTTCTCCAAGCCCTTCATAAGCTTGCATCAGTCACATATTTTTCATTACCAATATGGCATAAGCTATAGTGTTTGATTACTTAGAATATGTACATGGAGTATCATAGAACAAGCTCATACAAATCAATTGGATTTTTGCAGATGTGCAAAAACTGTTGGTGCTTCTTATGTATACTATCAACCTGTGGTTTTTGCTATTTAAAGACCAAGTTAATGCTGATAAGGTAATAGCAAAGGTTCTCAACTGTGCAATCTAAAAGAAAGTGTTGTTCAGGTCAGCTGCTACAACTCAGCTATTTCACTGCAGTGTGCTTCTCCCTTCTCCCCAGAGTCAGTTCATTCACTCCCGATGTGGCCAGTTCATTCTTGTTTAAATGTTGCAAGCTTTTTCTGGCAAGAAAAGCTCTCACTCTGGATTTGTGCAGTATTAGGGTTTGTAAAATGGTTTGCTATATCAACCAAGCAAACAAACAAGCAGCTTAACCAAAAGTAGGAGTACCAGTTTGTCAAGGAAATTCTGAGAAATGCAATTCATTATATTGGCTGATTCAAAAACTTCTAACTTCCAAAAAACATAAACTACATTTTAGTTATAACAATAGTCCTCATGAGTCAGTTAATGGCTGCTACCATTTTCAGCACTGATTAAATTTCTTAAGGCATGTTTACCTTAAGCCCCACCCATGATAACACTTAGTAATTCTCGCTGGTGAGAGTCAGCTATTTAGCAATATACAATTGACTACAAGGAGGAAAAGCAGATTGGAAAACTCAGCAGTGAGGAGAACAAACAGAAGGGAGAATTAAGGAGAGCCAGGGAGCAATACTTACTGCTGACTAACTGGCCAACACTCAAAGCTGAAGAGGAGGAGGATGAGGAGGAAGAAGAGGAAGCCTGACGCACTGGACTTTGAGACATAGATGCTTGACTGTGAGCCAAATGCAGGAGATTGGATTGTGAAGCTGCTTGTCCCACTTGCGTCTGGGAAGGCTGATGGAGCTACATGTTAAAATGTAAAAATAGGTATTTAGAAAGTGAAGCAGTGCACCATCTCATCCATCTACTTCTGGGGAACAAATCACATAGGAGCATTAAACACCAGGGGCTTTATTCAAGTGACAATGTTGCAGGAGCAATCTGAGCTGTTCAAAATATTGTTCAAAGTAATTAGAAGGTAAATACTTCTTTTGAAATGGGTGATAAGAGACCTATGACATTTACATCAGGATTCTGATTTATTAAATACTTATCCTTACCTGTTTTCTGACTCATGAAACCAGACTTTTATTCCCTACATGGATTCTCATAGAAAGCAGGATTGTTTCACAGAAGTCCTTTCATACTGCAGGACCAGGACCAAGAAGAGTGGGAATGGGGAAGAGGACATAAACTAAGTCAAAATCCCTTTCCTACAGGAATCAGAGATTTGTTTTATGACATCAGACCTGGCAAACAAACAAAGATCATAGGAACAGATAACTTGTATTTGACTAAAACACACACAGAAACTTCTGAGCTCCATCCACATCAAGATTGTATCCAGTAAGACGCATGTAAAAAGTCTAGTGAGTAAGGCAGATGCAAATGATACATGAATTAACTTTCTAAATTTTAAAAACAAATATTACAAGAGTGTAGTCTTTGTTTGTTTACTAGGGGAATGGAAAGACCCATCGATCCATTCTGCCTATAATATGCTTTCATGTGGCATTGAAATCTAAGCACATTCCCTGGTACTGATTTTCACATAAAACTCTCAGAAAATTTGAAGGGCAGTCTCTCTACAAAATAAAGGCACACAATGGACTTTACAGTTTTGAATAGGATTCTAGTAGTCCAGTATAGTCTTTTCAGAGCATAAGAATACAGTAATATAGGTCTGATACACTCTGGTGACTGCTGCTTATTGTACCTTTATTTTATGTTGATTCTTGATATTGATCAAAAAAAGATGGTAAAAATATTCTAAAAAGGCTTCACTGCAGCTGTTATCTGCATTTTCTACAAGGTAAAAGATAAAGGCCAATGTGGCCTTGCTTGAAGTCAGTAATTAAAATCTTTCTTGAATGCTAAGGAGTATGAGGTTTTCTCTTTTGATATATAACTGAAAAAATGACTTTAGAAAAGGAGCTACATCCATTAGTAACACTCAAATTATATGTATTATCCTCCCAGCACACACAGAAATGTCTGATGCTAAGCAGACAACAAATTGTATAAATCTGTAGATAAAGGTGTCTGTTCACATTCAAGATGATACTTTCTGCAGAATATATATGAACTATTTTAATGACAATATTCCTGTTAGAATCTGTTAAGAATGGAAAAAATTTCAACTTCTTTTTTGGCTCTTCTACATGGAATAATATAATAGAAAATGAAGGAAGAAACTTTGATTTAACCTTTAATAATAATGATAATTATTTATCTCTCCAGTTTTAGTATTTTGACTTCCTTGTGGATTAATAAAAAAAGCATTTAGTTATATCTAGGATTCTTTTTCTTAAGTACATTTTAAAAAATATAACTGCCACTTTATCAAGGGTATAACAGTTGAGAAGCTGATTAAAAGGCTTCCAGCTTTCAGAATCATGCAAGGAGTGAGCTTCTTAAAAAAATTCTCTAACAGCTGGATTTTATCTACAGAGAATTCCCAACTCAGATATTACTTTTATATCTTCTCTTAGGGAAACATTCCACTATAAGGGCTGGCCTCTTCTGAACACAGAAGAAGTGGACTGCCTGCCCACACATTATATCCACATCACATCCAGACTGCAGCTTTCAGAAATAGGCAGGTGTTTGGTGTCTGGGTCTGTTGTCTGAGGGAATCTCTGGCAAAACTAAAGATTTCAGCCCAGGCAAGGGAAGATAAGTACTGTATTTAGATGAGTTAGATGCTTTCACACTATGTGGAACAGTCTACGAGATGTTAGTGCTTATCTGTGAGCATGGAGGAACAAATACAGAGCTATCTTTAAAGAGAAAGGTCTGTAAAATTATAGTCCAGTCAACTAAACTTCAACCATAGAAAAGTACTGAAGAAAATAATCAAACAATTTGTAAGCACTTGCAAGAAAACAAGGTAGCGACAGACAACTTGGATTGCTAGAAACAAACTGTGTCAAACCAATCTGATCCCCCTCTAAGACAGGGTAATTGGCCTTGTGGACAGGGAAAAAGCAGTAGGTGGTTTGACTTTACAAGTGTCTTGACACTCCCTCATGTGACATTCTTTATAATCTAAGGAAGCATAGTTTAGGTGAAATTGCTGCAGAATGAATGCCAAAGTATTTTGAAAGCAAAACTGAGGATAAAGTATCTGTGGAAAAAAGTGTCCATGCATGGTGCTTCACAGAAGTCTGTCTTCATTCTGCACTACTCAATATTTTCTTAATGACCTGGATGATGGAGCAGATAATACCTTTACTAAATTTACATGCTGATGACATGCTGGGAGGAAATTTTGACAGGCTGGATGACAGGATTAGGAATCAAAATGTTTCTGTGTTTTGAACATACTGGCTGCAAACTGGTGGTGTTAAAAAAGTGAAGCAAAGACAGTTCCCATACCAAGGCACGTGAGTGGGAGTGATGTCTGCAGTGCGTGTGAAGGGCACCTTTTCTACTGAGCCCTGGAAAGACCTCTGCAGAGGGGAATGCCAATGCCATGTCCACAGCTGGGTGCCAGACTGCATTAAAATCTGGACCAACTAGAGTTAAATAATTAGAATGGCTGAAGGCCTGGGAGTTAACTGAGGCTTATGAAGACACCTGCAATGAACTGGTCATGTTTAATGTAAAGGAGGGAAGACCAAGCGGGATATGATGCCTGCTTTGTATACAGGCATAGCTAATGAAAAAAGAAGATAATCATTCTGTGCTTTATTAATTTTATAATGGGCCTAGATATCTGGAAGGGTCAAATTAGATGTTGGGAAAAGCTATCTAATGTGAAAGTGAAACACTGGCATAGACTACTGGTGGAATATGTGGTTTTCTGTGACAGTGGTTAGGACCAAATTAGCTAAAAACTGGAATAGCTACTCCATCTGAGAATAACAGGTTAGACTGGATAATCTCTTGAACTTTGACCTTCCACCCCTAATTTTTTAATGATTCTCATAGTTAAAAAACATCATTTCCCATCAGCATTTCTCAGGGAGAAAACAAACCAAACATTTTCCAGCTATGTTACAACATATAGTCACTGAACAGCTCAGCTAGTGAGCACATGCACAGTAAGACTGAAGCCTCTAGGAAGCTCTGGAACGAGAGGGCATTCTGCATTTTTCAGCTCTGCATGCAAGGCATACACAAAGTCAGAATCACTATGTTGCATGTGCACAATATGATAGTTGAATCTAAAGTGTTTGAGTCTCTGTGCATGTTTTGTACTATGCATATATTTTTAAAGTAACTGGAATACCCAGAAGCTTGGCAACTTTCTTGCTGAAGGTCCAGAAATATTTAAACATAAGAAATATAAGAAATTCTTAAATATAAGAAATTCTCATAATTTGGCTGGGCATAAAGGAATATGGATAGTGAAGTTTGTATTCACAGTAACCTTAGGTGCAACACCGATATATAAGGGATATTTACAGGTTGGTTTCTAACTCACAGCTTGTGAGGGAGAAGTGAGCAATGTGGTTGAAGAGGCTGATGAATCACCTTAGGACCTGACCAAAGACTGAGAGAGGATTCCATCTTTAACTTCCTACATAATTTCTAGCACACCCTCTGCTTTACAGCAGATGATGTTAACTGTAAATGTCCAGCTTAAAAAACAATGATTATTATCTCTGGTATGAAATTACATTAAAATACTCTCTATTTTCATCCACTATAATTTCCACTCCAGAAATAGCCTTAAGGAGAGGCTATGATTAGATTATGAATTAGATTCTAGATGACAGAATCAATTTGTATTTGCAATAGCTGACTTTTCCCAATTTTGAACACGTTTATATAATATGAATTATATTTATGACTGTTATGCATTTTCCATCCAAAGACAGAAGGAGGCACAGAAATTACAGAAACAGTTGCTGTAAGTGCCATTTTTTGTAAGTGGATATAGTAGACATGCCAGAATGATGACTGTATGGAGCCGTGATCTGTATCTGGTAGGAATTTGTGTAGGCACACTACAGTTAGAGGGATGAAGTGAATATGAGAAGGGAAAAGTGCATCATAATACTTGGTGAGAATAAACTGAAAACTGCAAAGAGCCTCAGTTGTATTTGTTTTGCATGAGCTTTACATATTGCTGTCAACAGTGAAGGTAGTATTGACTGACAAATGCAGAGGTAAAGAATTAGTTAGGTCCGTAAGACTGAATTTTGTTCTTACATTATTTGTGTAGGGTATTCCTATGCTTGGGATGGTTGACTGGAGTTCTGTGTTAAAGGCCTTATGAGATCTGGGATGTTGTCCTCTGCATCCAGAAAGCTGCATAAAAGTGATAGGGTAACAAGATATTTAGCATAAAATAAGGAAAGAGAAAGAAACTAAGTGGAAATTTAGAAAATTTTTGACAGAATATTGCCCTGTATCATAACAGAGCTGCTACTTGGTTTTACAGAGAGTCTGGAGAAACAGCAAGGGTGAAATGGATTTAATGGAAAGGATAAGAAAATAATGAACTTAAATTGCAATAAGGGTAGCTAGGGTCAGGCATCAGAATGCCCTTTTGAATGCTAAGGAGAGGTGCCCAGATTGCCTAGGGATGTCAGGGAACCTCCATCACTGAAGATTTTTAAGAACAAGCTAGACAAACCTCTGTCAAGAGTAATATAGGGACAACTGATCCTGCCTAGCGGGAGGAGACAGACTATATGAACTTTTCAGGTCCTTTCCAGTGCTATTTTTCTATAATTCAGTGAAAAAGAAATCTGAGAGATGAGGAAACACAACAAATTAGAGGAGACAAGTATAACAAAAAAGTGAAAAGAAGTATAACAAAAAGAGCAGAAGAGATGAAACTAAGAGGAATG